ACAGAGAACGCCCGAAGCTTGACGCCATTTCAACCAACCGGCTGTAATTTTATGCCTAACATCTTCATCAATGCCGCCATCCTTTTGTAGCATCGATCCTAAATACTGGAAAGTCTCCTTCTTGGCCACCACTTGCCCGTCAAGGCTAACATCACCATCATCATGAGTAGCCATGCTGAAAGCGCACGTCATGTACTCGGTCTTCGTCCTACTAAGTCTGAAGCCTTTCGACTCTAACGTGTCCTTCCACAGCTTTAACTTCCTATTTACCCCGACCCTACTCTCGTCAACTAGCACCACATCATCAGCAAAGAGCATACACCAAGGGAGATCACCTTGTATGTCCCTTGTGACCTCATCCATCACCAAGGCAAATAAATAAGGGCTCAATGCTGACCCCTGGTGTAGTCCTATTTTAATTGGGAAGTCGCTGGTATCGCCCCCACATGTTCGAACACACGTCATCGCATCCTTGTACATATCCTTGATGAGGGTAATGCACTTAGATGGGACTTTGTGCTTTTCTAAGGCCCACCACATAACATTCCTCGGTACTCTGTCATAAGCCTTCTCAAGGTCGATAAAGACCATGTGCAAGTCCTTTTTTTGGTCCCTATATCTTTCCATCAACTGTCGTATTAGGAAAATCGCTTCCATGGTCGACCTTCCAGGCATAAATCCAATTTGGTTTTGAGTCACACTCGTCACTCGCCTCCATAGTGAAAAATATTATATCTAAAATAAAGTATAAAAAAGATTTAAAGTATGAGCTTTTCCTCGCACGGGATATACACTAGTTATAATTTATAATAATGAACAATTTCACATTCAGTGACAACTGAGAAGGTCAACGTGGTAAGAGTAATTATCAGTTAGAATTAGCCGCTGCCAACAGATCAAATTCCCAATCTGAAGAAGTCTATTTTAGGGTTTACGATTCATATCAATCGCTTCCGCCATCCAATTTTCATCATCTCAGAGGTATTAGCTTTACATATATTTACTCGTTTTTTAAGCTGTGAAGACATCATGTGATTGCAGTCTACAACGTGAGAGTTAGAAAAAGAAAGGGCCCAATTAGGATTCTATTTATCCTCTTTATATGTCAACCAAGTGTTGTTTTCTTGAGTCGTTAGCTGAAAATTTTGCTTTGTGTTATTTCTCTGAGTTATAGAATCTGCGGTTTTGTGATGCACAATATACTTATTGTACATTGTTTTTATTGGTGCTCCAGTTGTGTCGAATACAGATGAATCTTCAATCCAATCAACATTCTACAAATCAACGTATGGTCTTCATTCAGAATCTCGTTATATATATAATCGTGCAATGTGTTAGTAAGTTATTTCACATATTTATGCTCTAATCATCTTACTTGAGGACTTGAAAATCTGCCACACTAGATGAAAATGCTGCTAGAGGAACTGAAGTGTTCGTTGGTGGGTTGCCTAGGAGCATTTCAGAGGAAAAGCTTCGCAAGGTTTGATTTTTACTGCCCTTTCAAATGATTTGGTGAAACAAAGAAAACTCGTGAAAATGATGGAGCTACAGAAAAAGCAGAAAAATGATGAATCAGATTCGTAAATGGAACAGTCAATTGGTTGCTGGCCTAGTGCTGTGCTGGCTGTATTGGTTTGCGCTCTTGATTGACATATATGATTAGGAGGTCCATTGTCTTTCTCTGTCAGTTGGCTGATTGACTAACCCTGGAATGGAATGAGATTTCAATATTTTTCACAAACTGTAGTGTTTGTGAATTGTTTAAACTTGAATGGTTCTTTTTTCCCCGTCACTTGGTTTTCATATCTAGAAATTTGGATTTTAGAAACCTGAAGACACGCAGAACTAAATCAACATGATCTAGTTAGATTTATACCATAACATGCATTGATCCACTGTTAGATAGGTTTTGAAAAAAAAATACAGATTGAAAATGATGGGGGTGTGCAGATTATTATTTGTGGAAATTTAGGTACATGCTAGGTCTAGTGCAGTTTATCTTGCAATAGTTGCGTATCTTTTTGTTTGCAATATGCGGATCTCAGGTATAAATGTTGCTCCAGAACTTGGTCTGCCCCTGCTTATAATGCCTTAAGTTGGATAACCAGGCTTTGATGTTTGTCTGTCTGTGTGTGCATGCTTTTTATTTTTTAAGTGGTGATTACAGCTTGTTGTTCATATTCTTTTGTTTCTTATATGTTCTTATAATGGTATGATTGGCTATTTGGTTTCAGTCTATATTTACACACTCTGGAAATCTTCCATGTTCTCAGGTATTTTCCGCTTGTGGAGAAATTGTGGAACTTCGCATGATGAGGGACAAGAAAGGCAATTTAAAGGTCAACCAATGCACTTATTCATGTTTTCCATTGGAGGATGATTTTCTCTAGTTACTCACCCTTCCTGTTGACACCCATGTAAATATGTGCATAGATGTTTCACACACACACACAAACACACTCACAAACACACACACCATCTAACTGCTGTCATTATATTTTGTTATTTTTTGTAGGGATTCTGCTTTGTTAGGTTCGCAACGAAGGAATCTGCAGCCCGAGCTGTGAGGGAAATATCTGGCACGGTGGTGAGAAATATTTAATTTCCTAAGAAATTATCTTTACCTGTTACTCTAATATCGATAGCTTGTATTTCTTCTCTGGAAGATTGTTATTTTTTTTTTCTTAAATGTTTTTGTTCCATTATCTTTAATTTAGTTTAGGCTTTTTAGAGCATGTTTGTTTATAAGATTTTTCAAAAAATTTCCAATATTTTAACTCAACCACTTTTTTTAACTCAACTTTAACTCCACACTACTCTTATCAATATTATCAATATAATTAAATAATATCAATCAATCATTCATACACACCACATCAACCTTAATTCACTATTCATCTACTCACATAATTTTAACTAATCATCACATCACATCTTCTCTCTCCTACTTTTACATCAATTTAATTTTAATTATTTTATTTTAAATATTATTTTAATATATCCACTAACAACTAACCATACCACCTTTTCAAAATTAACCAAACCAAACAAAAAAAATCCAAACAAACTCAAAAAATTTCATAAACAAACATGCTCTTACTCATTCCAGTGTAATATTTGAATCATTTTTATGGAAACTCATATTTTTCGTGTATTTCGATTATAAGAGAATATTTACGTTTTCGTTTGGAATTTCAAGTGACAATTTGAGACTTTTTAAGATTTTCAAATTTCGAAAAAATTCTATGAAATCTTTAGTCTGAACTCTGAAGGTGACATTTGGAGTGAGATTTCATTTAAGTTTTTTTTTTTTTCTTTTGAAATCCCAGCAAATATTAAAAAGTATTCACAAATCTTAATCTCAAATAAGGTAAATACATCATGATTTTGTAAGACTTTTTAAATCTCAAATGAATACTCCGATACTTCCAAAAGTCTTAAAAAGTCTAAATTAAATACTCTAAAATTTCTAAAGTCTTAAAAAGTCTTTAGAAATTCCAAATGACCTACATTAGTTCAATGCTTCTTTTCACATTAGAATATATATTGAAAAGAATCTATACTTGAATTGGCGAACGCACTTCGATTTCGATCCCTTTCTCTGGAATGAGCCTTTGCATAAAGAAGTGTTTTGAATGTGTCATACACCCGTGCATTCGTTTGTATTTCGAGTAACATTTTGAGAATTTTTAAAATTTGAGACTTTATAGGGGATGCTTGAATATAATATTTTTTTTTGTTGTTTTAATTGAATTTTTTGTTGGTATGATTAATTTTGAAAAAGGTGGTGATATGGCTAGTTGTTAGTGGGATTTTGAATTATTGATAATATTTAGGATAGTGGGATTGAGTTAAAGTTAAGTTAGATTTGAGTTAAAATCTGTGATTGGTTAAAAATGATTGGATCTTTTTGGATAAATTTGTATCCTATCTCTTACGATTTTCAGATTTTGGAAGAATTCTGTGAAATCTTAAGTCTGAAGGTGGGATTTGGATTTGGATTGCGATTTCATATATATATATATATATATATTTTTTTTTAAATCCCAACAAATTTGAAAAAGTCTTAACAAATTATAATCTTAAATAAATTAAATACATTAGGATTATGTAAGACTTCTTAAAATCTCAAATGAATACCTTGAGACTTTTAAAAGTCTTAAAAAGTCAAAACTCTAAATTAAATACACCAGGATTTCAAAAGTTTTAAAAAGTCTTTAAAAATGAAATTAAACACCAGGATTTCTGAAGTCTTAGAAAGTCTTTAGAAACTTAAAACAAATACATTCCCTAAGATTTTACATGATTCCTCCTAAATCTGAAAGTATCCTAAATCTGAAAGTATGAAAGTCTTAAATCTCATAGTCTTAGATGTCATTCGAAAGCTCAAACGAATACACCCCCTTAGTATTAGAATATATTGAAAGGTTTCTCAGCCTTCTTGTCATCATGGAAGGAAATGCTTATTATTGGATAATTGATATTTCAAGCTTATGATAATGTTTACAAGCCGAGTTGAGCTGAATCTTGAGCAGGTTCATTTTAGTCAATGTATGGCTGTATGCCTAGGTCTTATCATCTTAACAACTTGATTCTATTGTACTACAAGGTCTCATTAGTTTGACTGTATGATTCTTATTTTGTTGTATCCATGTTCAGCTGGAGGGGAAGAAGATTGGCGTTCTACCGTCAAGTGAGCAAGACACTTTATATCTCGGGAACCTTAACAAAGGTTTGTTGTGTGGTATATCTACTATTAGATAGTTATTTCGTGCCTGTGCCCAAATATGCATTTCAGTTTGTCCTTTTATTGCTTTTAGAAACAGAATGTAAAATCACTGTCCTTGTGAAGCCTGGTAGCATCTGTATAAATTTAATAATTGCTTTATGAGCTTCAGAGCATTTTCATGGAGATTTGGTGAAATGGGTAGTAATGTTATATCAGACCTAGCTTACTCATGGTCTGCATGCATGACATTTTTTTTCCCTCAGCATGGAGTGCTCAAGAATTTGAAAGAATTGTTCTCCAGGTATAATTTCATTTCCACTTTTTGTGTTGAGAGAGATTGAGCATGCTTTTGTGTTGATAACCAAAATTTCATATTAAGTTTCTTCTTTTTCTGTGAGTGTCGTGTCCCTCTATTATGTTTCATGTGCCACAGGTTTTCCCAGACATAGAATCCATTGAGCTCCCAATCTTTAAAGACACGCCACCAGGTCAAAAGCTACGAAATCGTGGTTTTGCGTTTGTGAAATTTCTCTCACATGCTGTAAGTTATATTTTCTTTATTTCGTGATCTCCTGTGAAAAATCTTGAACAATCGTTTTCCCTGAGTGCCGGTTGAAATAAAGTTGACTCTCCTGTTGCATCTTAAATTACACAGGGTAGAAGCTCAGGTCCATGGTTTTGGTTCTCAGTTCCAGCATCACTAAATCTCTTTACAAAACGACCAAGTTCATAATAATTCCTTGTTAAAATATATTGAAAAAATGTGGTCAAGAATTTATGATCCAGAACTAAAATTTTAAAAAATTCTGTGTTGCTTATGAAACTGTTATCTATTGCAAGTGGATATCTAAAATTTATCCTCTGAAAAGTATTATCCTCATGTTGTGCAACAACTTCAACCACAAATCCACAATCTTATTGTGTATTATTCAACAATATGCTAGTAATTTCCGTATGTCATTGTAAATTGTAGTCTTACACTAACAGTTATCTTATTTCTAATCGGTCTGTCAGTATGTGTTATCATATCCCCAATAATTGAATCATGATCTGTTTTTGCATTCTCTTTCCTTTCCTGTCTGAATTCAGATTAACTTTAGTGTTTTCAACATGCAAGACTCTTGTTTCGCCTCTTCTATAGATCTCTGATTGGACATGTGTCCACACAGTGGAGATATGTCTTGTCAAAGTACTTCAATTTATTTTCTTTGGCTTCTCTTTGTTCTTTGCGGAAAAGCTGTTCTCCACCATCCCACTGAGTTTGGAAAGAGTTTTCTTTACTGAAATATAATCATTCACACTCCTTTTCATCCTGAGGTACAATTATCCTCCAATTTGCATAACAATGGTAAAAAAACCAGGACATTAGTACTTGAAAGAAGCCTTTACATCCATCGGAAGCAATATATTCATTAACAAAAATAATAAGTATAACGATATAATCTTGGTGTAACAAACACATTTCACTCCACAATGTGGTTAGCTTTTGCATTTTTTTTTTTTTTTTT